GTTAACAAAAGACACCTTACATTGCACATCTACCATATTTTAATCACCTATGAGGTGAGCCAGTTATAGTTCTCATTAATTGGAACTACCACAAACACCTGCACATAAGCCACACCTTTTCCCCCCAAAAATTCCATATCAAATCAGGGGTGCAACTTATCTGTGAACACATCAAAAGTGCTCTAACTTTGCATAAATCAACACTATTCATCAATAATTAGATGTAGTCTGTCTTACTAGCAAACTAACCGCAATAACCTAATTAATAAAAATAAACAAGATAGAAATTGATCATTACTAGTTTGGTGGCTCCCGAAAAAGCCATTTTGTTCATATGGTTAGCATAAGCTTACATTTTTTTTTTTTTTTGGCATCACATTCACTTTTAGTATTGAATCCGTTTCTAGTCATTTCATTGTCTAATTCAATTTCAGGCAATACTTTTTCTAAAGCTCCCTTTACAGCTACCTTGACTTTTTCGTTTGTTTCAACCTTTTCTGTAATCCTCTCTTCGAAAGCTTTAGTACCAATGTGAGGGATCAGTGACCCCAAACTCAATAACCTAAAATCACGTTTTACATTCGCTATGGGACTTCCCATGAGATTGTACATATTGAAATCGCCCCCATTTTTTGCAATTCAGCGAGGTTAAGCCTTCCTCATAAGAGACCTTTGAAACAGTTAAGGGAGGCTTTAGCTCCCTTTCACAGCTAAATATTACTTGACATGGAACCTTGCCTGGCATAAACAAATGCTTCAAAACCTACTTGTATCCAGTACCCTTTCACCTACTCAAATACCTGGCTACGAACAATAAACAAACTGAAGACTTAGGTCCAAAACTCTATTGAAAATCTGCCTGGAAGTAACAAAATACTGGTTGAACAATACTAGAGTAAGGTCAAATATGAGTCTTTAAGTCAGCAGATATGATGTCTATACTATTCTAACTGAAAAACAAAGGTAACTGGGATTCAAAGTATTACCCCATTTTGAATATTATTGAATTCATGCTTGACAATGTTGGATGAAGCAATCACACTTGTGATTTCTTTTGATTTCTCTTAAAAAACTTTTTTTCCAAAATTTAAGCTGCCAAACTCAAGGTGCAGCTAAAGGAGGATTAGTCAGGTATCCCACAATTCCACACTTCCAACTATATTATCAATTCGTTCTAGTCACGTAATCACTCAGTCAATATGGAGGTAGTTGAGATCAACAGCGAAGTGCACTAGCGTTCGCCACTAATTTATGTCAAATGCTAGGATTTGGATAGTCAGACTTACATCTAATTTTCCAATTCGGCTTGTTGTCCGAGACTTCCAGGCTTCTCAACGTGATATTTTTTCAATTTACCCAAACAGCTAGAGGATGAAAGCAAAGATCAAAGACCTTCAGTGCTTATAATCTTCGACTTCAAATGAGTCGAAAATCGGTCTCTTGCCGCTTCGGATATTCGACCATATGACGAATATAAAGGAGACAACAACACCCCAGAAATACCCTGGCTAGACTTACAAGTCTCAAATTGCAGTTGCTACCCGACGAAAGGAAAAATCACCGTGACAAGCCAGTCTTCTGGAGAAGTGGCAAGCGACTCGAGTTACCAAAAGAAATAAAGAAAACACTCCGTCACAAGATACTAACTTTAATTCAGGAGCAAACCTTTACACAGATGTACTAAAAGAGGCATGTAATACAGGTAGCAAAGGCTATTGATCGATCAAACGCGGGCCGGGTGATACACCAGTCGAGGAAAGACGTCAAAATTTTGGCGCCAATTTAAACAATTTTGAACGGTCACATATTAAAAATTGCTACAAAATTTGGGGACTTAGGGGACCTTCGCTAATATTGAAAAGTGCCATCATTCAGGCACCACCAGGCAGAATAATAATTATGCTTAAGTATCCACCAGTAATAACACAACAGGCAAATATCGATCAAGCGTTAAAGTAAAGCGCATAAACAAAGCCACTCAGTCGTGCATACCACTCGTAACAAAGGCGTTTCTTTTTTTAATTTAGAGAAGAGCAGTTTCAAGTACTTAAGTCAACTTAACTGTTACAAGAATACATAAAACCGTTCAAATCACCTTCCGTGCTCCTGAATAAGGACAAACAGCTGTTTAAAATTCAGTCGACTCTCCAGCGAGTGCACTCGAATTCAACGGAATGTGACACCTTCTCATCGATAATAACCCGCAAGGGCTAAAGGGATACCCGACTAATCCTCCTTTGGTGCAGCCGATTTGTCGGTTGCCGCTTCTGCATCAGTGTTTATGATATTAATTAACAACTGTAATTTTAAAAGAACTGCTATTTACAAAACATAAATTCTCATAAAATACTAACTTGCAGAGTATATTTAATATGGTTAATAAAACAGGAAGTGGCTGAAATCTTCAGGAATACATTAATCAGCAGTGTAAATACATCTTTCATGCAATAAAAAATGACAAATTTTCAACTTCCAAAAATCACTATTCCACAGAGTACCCTAGTGGGTAAAAAGCACTATCACCAAAAGGCTTTGTTTAAATTACAAGTACCTCTCTGATGGGAAGTCTCCCATTTGTCAGCTGTCATTTCCCTACAATAAAAAGGACATTACAATTTTTTTCAATTGTGCACACTGTATTCAGATGTTTTCTGACTTGCTGTCAGAGTGTTTTTTCTTTATTAAATCTTTTTCAGTTCAATATACTTGTATCAAAAAATAAATTCAAACATTATATAAAAAGCACAAAGAGAAAAGCAGCATCATTCTTAGGAAAGCTGATAAAACAGACAGCCATTTGACTTTTCTGCCTACAACTTAGTAGTCCATAGCTTCAATGGCTTTGGAAGAAATTTCAAAAATGCTGAATAAATTTTTGAGTATACTGGCTGCTGAGCATGTAGGCCAAAATAAAAAACCCCAATTAATTTAAACCTGCTTTCTGAATAGCTATAGTCGGGGGTTAAATGGGCAACTATAAACTACTCTTAACAATAGCTTTTGGAACTGGTCAGTTCAAATACCTTTAGGTTTCTAGAAAAATTGAATTCCTATCACCCAGCCACAAAAGTCTCACCTTAGGAAGTGAAAAAGTTCCTTAGGTCCTAAAGCCATAGTTTTCTGGCCTGGCTTTAAACAATTCCCTCAACTGACAGGCAAGTTATCTTTAACCTAGGGCGCTGAAAATTTACCATTCACATTAGTTATGGTTACTCCAAACCTTTGTGGGTCAACCTTGGCCAAAAATTTTATTTTTTTCAATCATGTTTCAGTTAATTACTTAAACTAACTTTCCCAAAAAGGCAAGGTAAAATTTTAACAGACAACAGTTCAAGAAGAAAAGGTATTTTTGCAAAAAATGTCATTAACTATCAGGGTGATTGCTGTCATTACCTCTACTAGGCGTGAACTTCCATACTGCATTAATGCACAATAAAAAGCTTCAATGTGAGACTCTATTTTAACTCAACTTTGTCAACAAGCACCTTTCAGTGCTATATATTTCAAAAGTAAATTAGTCAGTTTCTTAGTATGAAACATTGAAAAGGAAAAAAAAAGGCCTTGGTTAAAAAGTCAAAGCAAAGCAGAACCAGAAAAGCCCGTAGAGTGTCACTTTGCCTGTTGTAATTAATGGGGTTATACACCCAGTCCAAATTTCATCAAATTCCACAATTCTACATACCCTATTTATCAGTTTGAAGGGAGCATTTTTTTTCAAAACAAAATTGTAAGTTTAGGACTTCTTAACATCTAATGCCTTTTTGGAGAATTAAAATTAAAGTAAAATCAATTTTGCAGTTGTTGTACCATTTCTATTTTTCCTATTGCCCTTCAGTTCCTTGTACAGTGTGTAACTTTTCTTGCATTACACTCGCAGTTTTGAGCCCTAATTTTTTCTTATGTGTTGCTATAATTTTTGTGATTGTGTGATGTATTACAATCAAATAATTAAAATGTTTTTGATACTGTGATGCCTAGTGAGCTCCTCATCCCAGGCATAGATGACTGTGGCCATGTTTGTGTCAAATAATTGCACACTGAACATGATGAAGTGTGCAAATTATTGAAGCTATTTTGAATTGTCTCATAGAAATATTGTAAGAGGAAGAAGTGACATATTTTTCTGCAGAATCTGACGAGATTTATCAATGTTTTCCTTCCCCCGCAAGATACTGAATGGATAGAGGACCTAAAAAAACACATTTGTGCAAGTTGAAAGTTAAATGTGATACCTGAACAGATAGAACTTTTGAGGTCCCCACTCTCTCTATAGAAGAAAATAACTCAGTTGCTTCAAGTTAGTGTACCAGTACTTCAGAGAAAGCATCAGAAATTAGGTATCAGTGATAATCTCCAATAGTTACCATATTCAATAGTATTGTGACATCTCTGATGAGAATTTAGATAAGGGCTACTGCTGGGAACTAAACGCAAGTGGTATAAATTTAAGTGGAAGATTTTTTACTAGCTTCAAACATATTATTTCTTTAAGAAATATCAGGCCTTTCAGCTTTATAGTGTTGGTAATGTTTGAACCAGAAGAAAGCAAATGGGTAGTTGTGATTTCCCAGTTTTGTTTTTCCATTCAACTTGCTGCATTGATTTAATTTGTGATTTTATTTAAAAAAAGGGATGATTCCTGAACAAGGACAGTTCTTGTTGTGACTGCAATTAAATTCAATGTCCCTGTACCTAAAAGGCCTGATTTTTATAATCCAGGCCACTAATTAAGTTACTGCAAAAGTACTAGAGAGTGGAACCTATTTTTACTAAACAATTTCATAAATTACCTCATTATGACCAAGTATCTAACTAACAGAATGTCCACAACTTTTTGTATTTTCAAAAACAAGCCCAATGAGTTTTCTTATGCCACATTTCACATTAATTTGTCCACATTTAATACAAGGGAAAATCATTTTTGGATAGCTTTGCTTGGTAGTTAAACAATGACTCAACCTGGTTAGGCTGTTTCTATTGTGGTAGCAATATTTCCGCAATGGTTTTGTACCTTATGCTGAAACATGGCAAATTTTCTTGAAGTATGATGATCATACTGAATTTCTTTTTTGCTCATCTGACACTGTAAGTAATAGAATCAGCTGACTGTGTGGTTACTTGGAGCAGTTTTATCAATAAAATTTGTTTACAATTTGCTGGAGTTGCTTATTTCTTATTTCACTGTGGCTTTTTTCTCTGATATTGTCGAATAGGTTTTTGAGGATTTTTCCACAACAGAATAAATGTTAAAACTACACTGGCAGTTTTAAGGCATAAATAGACTACCAAAAAAGATTTAACAATTTTTAAAGGATTTAAGTATTTTAGTTCAATGTCAGTTCCCCCATAACTAATCAAACAATGAAAGATGCTTCATCTTGCAATTGTTCAATATTCTAGATAATAATCTAGAATATTCTACAAACTTAAATGTGGATTTAAGTTTGTAGAACATTTCTACTACCTGCCATACAAGATATTTTTCACTTCTTTTAACCTAGCTGCTTTGATAGTCCTAAGGGGTAGGGGGGGCCTAGCTATTTTTGCAATTACACCTAGAGGAGTCATGACATTTTTAATTCTCATAGAGTAGGGTCAGGATATTTTTTTTAAGTCTCACTGAAAATCTTGCCAGCCCACCCCCTCCCATAAATAATGAATGCTCCCTTGGGTCCTCCATCCATTCAATATCTTGTGGGGCAATTAAAAAAAGCTTCAAGAATTCCTGCACTTCGTCACGTTTAGAGTGCAATTAGTTATAACAAACATGACGGTTTCCTCTACGCCCGAGACAAGGAGCGCGCAATGCATCATGGATTAAAATAATTAATTTGATCAAAAAAAAATTGCAACACTTATACGAAAACAAATTAGGACTACTAAATTCGAGTGTAATGCAAAATTAATTTCACACCAAATAATAAATAGCTGGGCAATATGACAAATAGGTATAGAGATAGTACAATAAAATAAAACAAACAGGGCCAATATTTATTTGACTAACTGCAAAATTGATTTAAATTTTTGCAAAACAAATGAATTAATTTTGAACAGAATGGCAGGCCTCCATACGGAGTTGATATAATTTGCCGAAAAGGCGTTAAATGTTTAGAAGACCTAAACTTGCTCCTTAGTTTTGAAAAAAATGCCTCCTCTTCAAAAACCAGTAAATAGGGTATGTAGAATTGTGGAATTGCCGAAATTTGGATTGGGCGCTGACTGAACAAGGAACAATCAAATACACTGTACTTTCCTGGTGGTGGCCTTGGAAAGTTACCCTGTTGCGAACTTTTCAATACTCGAACTTGAACGATTTCTTAAAAGAGACCAAGTAAGAATACACGAAAATGTGATTGACACGCTGCCTTAACAAAGTTGACATAAAACATTCACAAAGACAAAAACTTTGTATGTTCGTTGAATGTGTGCAACCATCCCTAACTTCGGTGTTCAGAAATTACCCGAGCAATTCCCCTCAGCAATTTGACGGTCAAATACCGGCAAGTTCACGAGAAGGGGACATAGGGGGTTCTGAATACCGCAACACCGCAAAGAAAAAAAAACAAACACCGCATCCCTGAAAACATCATACAAACATCGTACACAGTAAGGTTTGAGATCACCGCAACATCGCAATGCGAGTTGTTCTTTACCGCAATACTGCATTGAAAATGGGGTAACATCGCAAACCCCATATCATGTGCCCCTCCTTCGAATCCAAGCAACTTGACGCTGCATTCTGCTGGCTAGATAATTCCCTTGATGACATATTTAAGTTTAAATTATCAAACCCCCTTATATATTAGATATTTTGATAAAGCGTTAGATAGGAGGATTAATAATCGCAATCGTTAGACTTAAAGATTAACGCCCGTATGAAGAAAAAATCCTAACACTTACCGTGTAGACCTCAGTATCGACGAAAGAACTATATTATGTCGATGTTATGACGTTAAATAAGGGGAGAAATGATGTTGTATTAGCTTGTCTATCCGTTACTTTTGCGCGCCTAAGAAAACCAGGCCCCAGTTTTCTCTCTCCTCCACGGTCGATGCTCAATCTGGACCCATATCCCCTCGTCGGCTCCTAGTGCTCCAGTCATACCATTCCAGATATATTTTTCGCGCAAACCAGCCTAAAAAAAGTTACGCGTTACTTCACGTAACACGTAACACAGAAATCAGACAAGCCGTACAAACATGAGAAAATGACTCAAACAACTCTTGGCCAAGACATCAATATAGTTACAGATAATAAGAAGTCGTAATAATAATAATAATAATAATAATAAAATCTTTATTACCGTGTCAATGTATTTAGCTCATAGAGCTAATTGGGGACACCTACTTACTAAATTAATAAAAAAAACTATGTACAGTATCATAATAAGTAACAATACAGCCGATAAACTATGCATTAAAATTTTAAAATATTTAGAAATATCAACAGTGTTCAGATAACATAAAAATACTTGTACCATGCAGATAATTAAAAAAAAAA